GTTGATGAAAATATAAGTTATGCTACTAATTCATTAGAATATAATTAACGAGCATATCTCTCAACTTTTATAAATAGCATGTCCATCTGACAGCCTATATAAGTTCAACTTATTGGTTTTCGACGTATGGATGAGTCGTGGCTACGTATATTTGTCTTTATAGACAGAACGACATATGTGTCGTTTAACAACTCTTGTGTCGTTCTATTGATTTCACAAATATTTTCCTTTTTTTCTAACACAACAACCTCAAACATTAGATCTCCTAACTAAAATTTAGAAAGGTTGATCATGAGACAATAAACAGTTGAATTGACATAGATTATACAGTATTGAGTTGGTGAAATCACAAATCATTGTATTGATTCGTTAGAAAATATAATCAATGAGTACATCTCTCAACTTTTGTAAATGGAATGTTCATATTACAATTGAAATGAGTTCAACTTATTCATTCTCAAGGCATGAAGGGGTTGTGGCTACGTATACTCGTGTTTATAGATAGAACGACACAAGTGTCGTTTAACAGCTCTTGTGCCGTTCTGTTGATTTCTCAAATATTTTGTTTTCTTTTTCAATACAATAACCTGAAACATTAGATCTCATAACTTAAGAAAGTTAGAAAGATTGATATGAGATCAAAAACGATTGAATTGACATAAATTATGTGACATTAAGTTGGTGAAATCACAAGTCATTGTATTGATTTGTTAGAAAATATAATCAATGAGCACATCTCTCAACTTTTGTAAACGGAATGTTCATATTGCAATTGAAATTATTTCAGCTTATTGATTCTTGGGGTATAGATAAAACGTTGCTACGTATACTCGTGTTTATAAACAGAATCACACAAGTGTTGTTTAATAGGTCTTGTGTCGTTCTGTTGATTTCTCAAATATTTGTTTCTTCTTTTCTAACGCAGCGACCTCAGACATGGATCCCTAACTTAAAAAATTTAGAAAGGTTGATCACGTGACAAAGAACGATTGAATTGACATAAGTTATATAATATTGAGTTGTTAAAATCATAAGTCATTGTATTGATTCGTTAGAAAATATAATTAATGAGCACGTCTCTCGATTTTTGCAAACGGCATATCCACTTGCAGTTAAATGAGTTTTAAGCCATGGATGGATCGTCGCTACAAATACTCGTATTCATAGACAGAACGATCCTTTATAGTAACAGCACAAATGCTGTTCTCATGGAAAAATTATGTTTTGATAACGGTACTCGTGTCATTTTTTTAGAACTTTTCGTCTTAGAAATGGTACAAGTGACGTTCTCAATGACCTTTTCTCATCCTCTAAACGGCACTTGTGCCGTTCTTTTAGAACTTTTCATCTCAGTATCGACACAAATGATTCTATTATTTTCAACAAAATACAAGTAATGAGCATATTTCTTAATTTGTTTAAATGTCATATTCACCTTACAAGTTAAATGAGTTCAACTTATTATTTCACGAGGCAGGAACGGGTCGTGGTTGCTTAAACTCATAATGATAGATAGAACGATGCAAGTACCGTGTTATTATCAGTAACGAAACTTGAGCTGTTATGTTGATTTTCCCTTTATTTTCGTTTGTTTTCAAAGCAACTACCTTTAGAATTGGACACCCTAAGTTGTGCAGTTCTCATAGTAATAATAGAAGCTTATATTTATGTCCATAACTTATGATGTTCTCTTAGGACTTTTCATCTTAGTAACGGCACTGATACCGTTCTCACGATTTTTTAAATACTGTAAATGACACTTGTGCCATTCTCATGGACACTTATAAATCAAGTATAGTTGCAATTGTGTCATTCTCATAAACGTTTTCATCTCAGTAATGATGCAAGTGTCATTCTCATAAACAAATGACGTTCTCATCTTAGTAATGACACAAGTGTCATTCTCTTGGAAAAAAATTTACAATCATAATGGCAGTTCTACGATCATTGGGATGCTAGACTGACAATTAATGAGCATATTTCTTAACTCATCTTTATAGATAGAATCACGGAAGGGTCATTTTCATTTCAGTGACAGCTATTGTGTCGTTCTATTGATTTCTCCTATATTTTGGTTTTATTCTAGTACAATGATATCATATATTGGACCTCCTAATGAAGCATAAACATTTTAATCGCAGTAATGATGTTTGTCCGTGCTCATGAAAGTTTGTAACAAACATGAAAACACTTATATTGTTCTCATTCTCCTCTTATAAGTTTAGTAATGATACTTGTATCATTCTCATCGATGCTTATTTTTCTAATAACGTAACATGTGCCATTATCATGAAATAACAACAAACTAAAAAAAAAAATGTATAATTGAAACGCAAACATTTAACTTAAAAGACATTAGCAAAAATGTAGAAAAAAATCAACAAAACAGTACAAGTGCTGTTATTAATATGAAAATGACCCTTGTGCCATTATGGGGATGTTTGAGCCCCTCTTTTTTTCGTTTTTCTATTTTTAAAATTGAATTTTATAATAGTGTTATGACAGAGAATGTATGGTTAAAAAATAAGAAAAAATTTTGAGTTTGCGTGTAATGTTATTTTATTGAATAACGTGTGGTTAAAATGTGATCAAATTACTATTCAAGAATGCATTTTGATGAAAAAATGAGGCTCAAACAAGGGCTATACATGTAAACACGAGTAAAACCAGCTATGTTAATCTATATCCCGAGAACCAATAGTGGAACTCATTTACATTATTTATGACATTGTCAAACTTTCTATGTTATATATGTTAGGGAATCCATTATTAAATGTTGTTTTGTTGAAAAAATCGGATATATGTGAAAATTTCGGAATAACACAAGTGTCGTTACTGGACATGAAAACGACAATTGTGTTGTTACGTGTATAAATATGAGTATAAGTAGTTACGATCCATTCATTCCCTAAAAAATAATAAGTGGAACTTATTTACATTATAATATTTACATGACACGTATAGGAGTTGATAGATATGTTTATTAATTTAATCGACACATATAAGTGTGATAACTTGTACTTTCACCATCTCAATAATATAAAAATTATGTCATTTCAATCGTTCTTTGTGGCTAGTCAATCGTTTTGTGTTATATACATTAGTGAGTCCATTATTAGTCATTTCGTTGAAAAAAAATCAAATTACAGCAGATAACGACTTTAATATCGTTTTATTTTATAGATAATGATTGGAGTGGTGTTTTATATTTCAAATAGCAATTGGACTGTTATTACATCCAATGATTGTAGATAACCCAAAAAGCACACTAAATATGAAAAAAATACCAACTAAATATTATTTAATACTATATTTAATAATAAAATACAACATGGGTGAAATTTCTAAAAGCATATTTCCTCTTTCTTCAAATGTAAATGTGACTTTTTAATGTAAATGATATGTTAACCAAATCTTTGTTCAAATATTCAAAAGATATCTAAAATAAGTAAATAATATAATAAAGAACATAATTTTAAAATAGTAAAAATGGTGACGAAAGAGAAGATAATAGGTGATTGTAATTTTAAAAAAACTGAAATTGAAAAAGATAAATAGGGGCAGATTTTATTAAAAAAAAATAAAGATTTTAAGATGAATTTGGAGAAGAATTGACGAGATGAAATTAAAAAAAATAAAATTGAAAGATATTAAGTTAACAACTGAAGGAAAATTTTGTTATTTTACCAACTAAAATATTTTACATTTTTATTTATTTTGATTATTAATCAAAGGCCATTTCACCAAATATATTGTTTAGTTAGGCCAAATGACAAAATTCCCCAAATTTAATTTATTGCATGGTGAAAAACTTGAATGTTTCATTACCCAAGTCAACTTTTCAAGCAAATAAATTACAACCAAACTCTTTTTCTCATTGACATCTTCTTTTAGGCCATCTCTAACTCTGTACCAAATTTTGCACAATTTTACACCAAATTTTACATGAACCTAAAATTCATTTCCAACCATTATACCAAAAGTTACACCATATGAATAGTATTTAACCATTTTCTTCTTTTTTTTGTTCTTTATAATTTATTTATTTGAAATATTATTTATTTAATTATTTTATAAATACATGAATTACTAAATAAATAATTACGTTAAATTACGGAAATGATTAAATTCATTAATAAATATAAAAAAATATAGAACAATTAATAAAAACACTACAACAACGAAAATATAAAATCATGCCATTAGAAAATAGTACAATGCATTTCGAATTTGGATAGACAATATTACAAAGTCGTAAATTTTTTGCAATTTAATTCTCAAAATTCATATGTTCATTCCACAAATTATCGATTAATATATTTTTTGGTGCAATGTGAGTTTTTTATGAATCCTTTTTTTCAAAAATAAAATTAGATTATCATATGTATATCATTGTTTAATATATTTCGTATTAACTTTAATAAATAATTGTATTTGCTACATTTTAAATTATTTTCATCTTTTAATTAATTTATTAATTATTATGTTTTACATTTAAAATTTATTTTAAATGTAAATAATAATAATATTAATAAAAATAATAATAATAATTTATTATATTAAAAAATATATAACACAAATAACATAAATACTCTTAACAAATTTATTTGGAAAATGTTAAATAAAAACAAAAGAAACATTTTACACTTTGTACCATTTTACACCAAAATAATACAAAGTTTGGTATTGCATTAAAACAACTTCGCACCAAAAAATGATGCAAAATGATACAATGTTGCAACCATTAAAAATGCCCTTACAACAACTAATCCACAAAAGCTTAAAAATGGGTAGATAAAGTAAAACTAGGTCACCAGATCAATTAGCCAATGGATCAAAATTATCATCGAGAAATAAACTAAATTTATGTATAATTATTACACTATTGTTCGAAATAAGTACATTAATTGACTTGAATCACAAAAAATCAATTTAGCTAGAGTTTCACAGCCAGCAAAAATTCAATATTATGTAACGATAATACCAATAACAAAAACACAAAATCATAAGAAGCAAAATATTCATTTCATCAGCATCAAAACTACATTCCACAGCACCTAATTTGATTAAAACAGCAGTAGCCTAATAGTTTTAGATAAGTTTCTTGACAGCAAGACTGCTGCTTAACAAATTATCTACCCACCAAACCCATAAAGAGTCCTGCCTTGCCTCTTCAAAGCATAAACAACATCCATCGCAGTCACAGTCTTTCTTCTGGCATGCTCGGTGTAGGTAACAGCATCACGGATGACATTTTCCAAGAAGATCTTGAGAACCCCTCGAGTTTCTTCATAGATTAACCCAGAAATGCGCTTTACACCACCCCTTCTGGCCAGCCGCCGAATGGCAGGCTTCGTTATACCCTGGATGTTATCTCGGAGGACTTTTCTGTGCCTCTTGGCTCCTCCCTTCCCCAATCCCTTTCCTCCCTTGCCACGCCCAGACATTGATGATGATGATGAATTGACGGTGTCTTCTGCAAGTGAAAAATTCAAAAATATATTACTCAACACATAACTATAGTATACAAAATTTGGGAATCATAAACCTAGAAAATTTTGCACGAACCTTAGAAATGGAGAACAGGGAGGAGATGAAAATGGGGAACAGAGTGGGATTATTTATGGTGATTTGGTGTTCAGGGAGGTGAGGGATTTATCCGGGGAATGGTTTTGACATAATGAATGCCGTTGATTAACATCTATCAGCGGTCAAGATGAGCTTCCGAGTTTTACAAGGATCGACGATGTGGCATGTTTGGATTTTTTAAGGTTTTTGGCTTGGTGGGGATCAAGATTAGCGGGATAATTAAATGTTTTAAAATAATGGGAAAAAACCGGGAGGGAACTTTTTATTTGAATTATCTTGGATGATATAATCATTGTTTGTCATCCTTTAAAAATTTATATTGTTTGTTACATGCTTATTTTTCACCACATATTTACATAATAAAATATTTTACACACAAATCAATAAAATTTTATTACTTTTTAACCACATATTTTTCAAAAAATACAATTTAATAATTCATTTTTCCTATATAAATTTTATCAAACAAGCTCATAATTGTATGACTTTCTGGGCCTAATATAGTGGAAATGCCTTGATCCAATTTAGAGTTGGTTTCACTCCATTTTTGGTGCATAATGCATTTTGAAATAATAAATTAATGAAAAATGCGAGGTTAAAAAATATAAATATTTTAAAATCGGATAATTAGCACAAAACGTTCTTACTTTTCAATTTTATTGTGCAAAACATCCATACCTTTAGGGAGCATTTGATTGTAAACATGGAATTTGTATGGAAAAAAAATAAATTCTAGATAATTTAATTGTCTAAAATTTATTTGTATGGAAATTGTGAATTAAATGTGTTTGATTGATTTAATTTTCAACTTAGAAAATATTATACTTGTTCATTTTTTATCGGTGGGTTAATTAGAGAGAGTGGATAAATAAGACAGAGAAAGAGAGACTGAATTTCGTGAAAAATAAAATCCAACTCTTCCTAAAGAAAATTTTTTTCTTGATTTTGAGGAAAATATGATCACATGACCAAAAGTGAGAAAATATTTTCCATTAAAAAAAATGACAATCAAACAATACAAAAAGTAATAATTTGGATGGAAAAACATATTTTCCATGGAAAATATAGGCAATCAAATGCACTCTTAATTTTTTTAGCATTTTTACTCTTACTTTCACCTTTTATTACGAAAATAATCATTTTCATCAAATTTCTCGTATAAAATGACAAATATACCCCCTATTTAAATAAAATAATAAAAAGAAAAGAAAAGTTTAAAAAATAAATTGCAATCATACTCCCAAACTATATAAAAAGTGTAAATGAGTCGACATAAATTATTAAAATGGTAATTAGTACAAAACAATCCCATCTTTCATTATTATTATGCAAAACGTCTCTATCTTTCATTTTTTGATATTTTCACTTTTATTTTTATACTTCATTGCAAAACTCATTATTATCATCCATTTTTTTCAATTAAAAGCTGTAAAATAATAAATATACCCTCCTTTTTAAATGAACAAAAATAAAGAACAAACTGCAACTATATTCCTGAAGTTTTCAAAAAAAAAAAAGTACAAATAATTTTCAAATAAATAAATAAAAATCACTTTCATTTTTAAATATTTATGTGTAATTTTTTGAAAATTTTGAAAATATTTGCAATTTATTCTTTGTTTTTATTTTTGTTTATTTAAAGAGGAATATATATTTGTTATTTTACAGCTTTTAATTGAGAAAGTTGATGAAAATAACGATTTTCGCAGTGAAATATGAAATAAGGGTGAAAATGTCAAAAAATGAAAAGTATGAATATTTTGCACAATAATAATGAAATGTAGGAACGTTTTGTGCTAATTACCCTTTTAATAAATTATTTGGACTCATTTGCATTTTTTAAAAAGTTTGGGAGTATGATTGCAATTTATTATTTTACTTTCTTTTTATTTTTTTTTATTTAAATAGAGGGTATATTTGTCATTTTACACAAGAAATTTAATAAATATGATGATTTCCGCGGTAAAAGGTGAATTAAGGGTAAAAGTGCCAAAAAATGAAAGGTATGAACTTTTTGCAGAATAACATTAAAATGTAAGGACGTTTTGTGCTAATTACCCTTTTAAAACTCGACATGAGCATCAACCTGAAAAAGATAAAGGGTCAAGGGTCAAAGGTTCACCGAGGTTGAATCGGGATCAAACTGGAGGTAATAAATAAATATTTGTAAACATTTAAATTTTACTTTCACAACAATATATAATAAAATTTTTACACCATCAATTCAAAAAAAATACAATTATGTCAAATGTACGTTTTTAATATAAATTTTAACAGTTTTTAATTTGTTAGATCACTTAAAAACTCATTTCAATTTTACTACATAATTTGTAAGATTAAAAAAAAATGTTTATCAATCTATAGAAATCAAGTAATTTTAATTTTGTAGTCATGCACCATGTGACCATAAATAATATTGAAAAAGTGTGCTTTATTGACATTTTCAATCCCACATTGAAAGTGTGTTTTACTGAATTTTGTCAAACTTATATTGGAAATTTATCAATTATGGGACTCATGAAATGGTTACAAAAGACCTCCATAGATAGAAAAGTAAACGAATTTCCATCTCTAAGGTAACCTTTTTATAATATAATTTTTTTTTTTAAATTTGAAAATCAGTCTAAAAATCTTGAATGGTGCTCGGATCCTTGTTTTCGATTTAATTGACCGATTTTTCGATTATTTGATCGGTTATTAATTAAGGGAAAAATTCAAAACTCACGAATTAACTTTGGGTCAATTCAAATTTCAGATTTTAAGTTTCAAAATTCAAAACTCATGTGATAAATAAATAAATAAATTTTATTAATTAAGATCATAATTATACAATTAATGGTCACAGATGCGTATTTATGTCACAATATATTTTTTTAGTCACATATTATTAAAGTAATTAGCCACATATTATTTCACGGTCACAGTAAAATTTTTGATAGGTCATAAATTAAAAATTCATAGGTCATAATTTGTTTGTTGGTCACAAAAATTCAAATTAGTTGGTCACAAATTATTTTCTAATCGCAAATTATCAAATTTTTAGGTTACAATTAAATAGTTGGTTAGATACCACAACCTAAGGGTGAACACAGTTCGATTTGGACGGTTTGGAACAAAATTTCAAACAAAACTATTTAAAGTGGTTTGGAATTTTTTCAAATCAAACCAAACCACTTCAATTTTTAAACCAAACCAATCCAAATCATTTTTTTCGGTTTGGCTCGGTTTAAAACCACGGTTTAACATTGAAAAAAGTAATATATATCAAATAAGTTAAATCGTAAATATTAGTCTAAAATTTCACGTTAAAACATAAGTTGTATTCTTAAAAAATAACAAATTAAAATTATATAATTATAATCATTATAATGCAACAACATGATATAAATATTTTAAACTCTTAATCAATACTAATGGCATCCATTTATAACTGTAATACATGATTCATTCTCTTCATAAATATAAAAATATAGTACATGAATTCATTGATTATAGTTAAATGATATAAAATAATTAATAAAATAAAAAAACAATAATACTTAGCTACTATGACTTTTTGTGAATCATTCAATACTTTTGCTCCATCCAAATATTGGCGAATTACCTGGGAGCTCGATAATTATTAGAACAAAACAACGATAAAATCATAGAAAAAGATTACCAAAAAAATAAAAGAATTTTGATAATCTGACTTAAAAGGCAAAATTTAAGAAAATTATTAGTAGAAGGAAATGAAATGTGCACGTTTGAATTAAAATCTAGATTTAATTATCTGCTCAATTATAATGAAGAATCGATAAATATGATTTAGCAGCAATTGTTCAACAATTTACCTAATTTAATGATTTTATATTCATAATTCTGCTGACTAATGGGTATTTAGATGTGATTTAATTAATTAATTGAGATGAAAAATTGTCGAATTGAGTTCAATTGAATTATGTTTGATATAGATGTAAATTTTTGACTGAAATGTGTTAAATTTTAATTAGATTAAATAAAATTTAGACTAATTTCTTTTCAAATCTTGTCGATCTAAAAATGGTTTGCAAATATTGATACCCAAACCAAACTACTTCGAAACGGTTTGGTTTGGTTCAAAATCTCAACGTTGACGAATCCTAGTGGAACCAAAACAACAATTTTAGAAAAACAGTTTTGGTTCGATTTTTGGGTTTCTCGATTTCGTTGTTCAGCCCTAACCACCAATACCACTTAAGACAACCAACACCATCACAACCTATTGCCACCATTACCGACAAAACCCTAGCCTCAACAATTCACCACCACCACCAACCATTTCACTCATTTTACTTTCGATGGTGAATTAGGTGCAGTAGTATCACCACCTTTCCACCACCATCACCATCCCTGACAAACTTCAATTTTCAACTTCAAAACCAACACCACAACAACCAAAAAGTCACCATTTTCAACTACAAAACACTACTGCAACCATCAAATTGCCACTACCAAATCCATCGCTAGATTCAACAAAAACCATCCCAACTATCAGATACACCACCACTGCAGCCGCTAAAAAAAATCACAACCACCATCAGATCTAACAATACCATCGCCACTACCTCAAATTCCTAAAAAAAATCTCCAAATTCGTCAGTGACATCATCACCACCACCTCAAATCACAAGCCACAAAATTACTACAAACCATGAACTTCGTCGACTCTAAACCACAAACATTGAAAAAATGGCTCTTGGGAGTGCAGATAGTCCACCACTCATTGCTAGAAGAAGATTGCCCCTATGCATGGTGGTCATTGCAGAGTGATGACATGGTGTTGCGCATGATGGCTCTTAGTTTGCTGCCAGCCTCCATTGAAAAGGAAAGGTTCTCGGTTGGTTGTATGATACTTGTGCTATTATACATTTATCATATGACAAATCCTTATTCAAAATATATCACAAGGTGGATGGAGACCAAGAGATTCAAATGGGTTACGAGGTTCGGTCCAAGGTGATTGGAAAGGGAAATGTTGATACCATTTTCACTTCGAAAAAACCAATACTTTGACAAAAGTACTACACGTTTTGGATATGAATATGAACTTAGTGTTTTAGGAAAATCGGGCATCAAATGTGTGTATGAATCTAGT